AAACCCTACAAACCCTAAAACCCAAACCAATCGTACTGTTTGGGTCACAAACAAAACCCTATCCAACTTACTGGTTCTTGGAAGGAGGGAATCAAGTACTCCATGTAACCCCTCAAAGGGTATGTTCCTCTTATACTAACAGATAGTACCCGCTATTATATTCCTATCAAGGACTGTTCGTATAAGGGGACCATCCCAACGTAGAAAGTATCTCGTCCCCTGAATCCCTACTGACTTGGTAGCCCAGTGGTACCCTTTTGCCCCTTTTTTGCTTCAGGGTTCCCTAAGAAAGTGAGCAACCCAAAAAAGTGTGCCTTATTGGAATATGGTTACTGGGCTACCAAGCATGAGATAGTCACCTTATCAGGACAATATAGGTATAGGGAGTACTGTCCTTCATTTTTGGGTGGGGGGTTCCTAAGCAAATAGTACTAACCCCTAAGCCCAGAACCCTAATAGTAGACAAAGAGCCAATAGGTAAAAAACCCTGCAAAACCCTACGGGTTCCTTGCGTTTCTTGGGAGTGTCAGCGCTGGACTTCCTGGCGCGGAAAAGCGGCTGGGATTCCTCGGGTAGTTTTAGGGTTTAGGGTTTAGGGTTTAGGGTTGGAGCTTAACAAAGCCGGAATGTTTTGGTTCTGGCGGGGGGTCGGGTGGGGTCTGGATTCACTCCCCAACCCCAAGCCTGCACAGGGTCTCTTTTGGGCGGGGGAGAGAAAGTGGGGGGGCCGAGGGAGGGCAAGTATTCCCGTGCAGCGGCTGGTCGCGTCTTTTTTTTTTAAACTTTCTCGGCAGGTGCTGTTAAACCCTAAACCCTAAACCCCAAACCCGAAACTCTAAACCCCAAAAATTCCCTTGACTGGCTTGGAGCGCCTTGCTGACTCCCGTGGCGCCTACTTCTCTCTCCGGCGCTGCAGGTTGAACTGCGATCCCAGAATCTACAAGCCTTCACTGTCCAACCTCCTTAACGTCCTGAAGCCATACGTCCGCCCTCAACCCCTGAGGATCTATGTACTCATGTAGTCTGTATGATATATATATATATATGTATATATATATATATATAGACTTGGGCCTTGCAGGGGTTCCCATAGAGTAGCTCTAGGGCACAAGTAAGAAATATCACAGGTGCATGGGCCGCTGGGAAACCGTATACCCTTGAAGTCCTCAAGCCAGGGAAGTCTATATCCCCCTTGTGAATTATTTGTTGGTTCATATAAAGCCCAAGAGGACACTAAGAAGAATATTTTTATTAAGGATTAAAGGGGAGTGTAGAAGTTTTTTTTGCGTCCACAGCCGCAGTCAGCCTCAAGACCAGTGGCGAGCTCATGTTTGTTTTTTGTTTCAGGGTTTGTGGTGCAGATGGGGTTATGGGGGTTTAGGGTTTAGGGTTTAGGGGGCCTCAGGAGTTTTTTGGCCACTAGGACGCTGCGTTTCCACAGGCCAGCACATCGTCACAGCTGTGTTCAGGAGCGCTGTAGACGACTCAATGACGGGAACAGTGTCTAGATGGGCCTACTCACACCACACATGTCAAGCCTTCGATGCCTTTTTGGGGGGTATGACCCACAAAGCTGAAGCCCTTTTTCCTTCCTAGTAAACTCAGCTTCTCAGTTGCTGCTAGCCGGTAGGTTTCGAGGCTACGCGCATCCATTGCGCACGATCGCAATGGAGGGGCAGGTATGGATGATGCCATGGGCAGAGGCAGAGGGGCTGCAAGTTTTCCTTAACCCTCTCCCGAAACGCCAAACCCTAAACCCTAAACCCCAAAACCTTCAAAAAACGTACGGCGTCCCCTACTAAGAGTGCCTTCGGATAGCAATGGCTCTCTGCCCTTTGAGCAAAGGGTCGGCCACACCCTGCAGTAGCCATAGCCATAGCATAAATAGCATCAACTAGGGCCCAGAGGGTTTAGGGTGTAGAGTTCAGAGGGTTTAGGGTGTAGAGTTTAGGATTTAGGCTTCGGGGCCCTTTAAACCAAAAAGGGCTTCCCTTGGTTACGTAGTCTTGGGTCTAGTGAACTGCGGGGCGATTTCTTATCTTAAGATGTGTTGAGCTCACTATGGGCCGCCTACGAACAATAATCTGGTGTCAAACCCTAAGCATCCACACGCCCTAAACCCCAGACCCTAAATGGACACAGACTGGCACGCAATGGGTTTAGTTTTAAGGTTTTGGTTCGAGGCAAGGGAGCCCTCAACCCGAGACCCTGCACCTTACGAGCAAAGGGAACCCCAAACCCTAAAACCCTAAACCCTGAAACCCTAAACCCTAAACCCTAAACCCTAAACCCTACTACCCCTGAACCCTAAACCCTAAACTCAAGAGCCAGAGAAGGGCCCTGTGGCAGAAGCCAACCCCGACCTGGTCGAGCGACAGCTGGAGATGAAGTGGGAGCTTGATCTGATGGGCCACTTCCCGGAACTGGTGATTGCTCCTCCACCACTTGAAGGTTCATGGGTACTGCTTAGGGTTTAGGGTTTAGGGTTTAGGGTTATAACCCCGAGTAGAAGTCTACTTATAACCTACTTAGAAGACTTAGGGGGCTTATAAGTGCAGTTAGAATTGGGGGTAAAAGTACCCTGAACCTCCAAGCAGGAGAGGGCAAGTCCGCTACGCACTTGTGGGTTTAGGGTTTAGGGTTCAGGGTTCAGGGTTCAGGGTTTAGGGTTTAGGGTTTAGGGTTTAGGGCGTCGAGCTACCAGTTGCCTTTTCCCGACCTGTTCAAGTGTATGCCCGGGTCAAAAATGTCGCCCAGTTTGCCGTCGCTGGTCGCCTATGCCCGGTCCCCTAAACCCTAAACCCTAAACCCTAAACCATAAACCCTAAACCCTAAACCCTAAACCCTAAACCCTAAACCCTAAACCCTACCTAAACCCTAAACCCTGGCTCGGGGCATCGTGGTCAATGCTCAGACGGCCCTCGATCATCCTTTGCCTTTCCCCCTTTGGTTCGGCTGCAGCCCGAACCCTAAACTTAGGGTTTAGGGTTTAGGGTTTAGGGTTTAGGGTTTAGAGTTTAGGGTTTAGGGTTTATGTTTTAGGGTTTAAACCCCAAACACCCCGAACCCTAAACTTGAAACCCAACGATCCTAGGGTTTAGTTTAGGATTTAGGGTTTATGTTTTAGGGTTTAAACCCCAAACACCCCGAACCCTAAACTTGAAACCCAACGATGGTTTAGTTTAGGGTTTAGGGTTTATGTTTTGGGTTTAAACCCCAAACACCAAACCCTAAACCCTAAACCTTCCTGCTCAGACTACTTCGACCGATGCCAACTTCGCAATGCGGGGATTCCCGGCGGCTTGTTGGGTTGCTGCTGCTCAGGCCTTTAGGCCGAGATACCACCGCAGTTCGGGTGATTTGGTATGACTCCTAGAAATGAATGCTATAACTTGCCCAAAGTCGTAAACGGCCTGGGTTGAAGTGCATATGGTTTCCCAGCCCCCAAAATTTGAAATGGGGGTTTCCGAATTAGGGAGGTCTTCGTGGGGGTCCTTAGAACAAGGGAATTCTACTATTTGGGGGTCTATATTGGGGGTCCTATCCTTGTTTTCGTAAACCCCCAAATGACCTTTAGCAGTGGCCTGGCATCTTTAAAGTATTGCAGGCCATAATCATTGTGCACTTGAAAGGCTCGGGTTTGGGCTTCTTAGGGCTCTTGTGCCTCCTGAAAGGGTTCTTAGGGCTCTAACCCAAAATCGGGGTCTTAGCGCTCTTGTGCCTCCTAAACCCTAAACTCCTAATCCTGATCCCCAAACCCCCAAAACCGTTGCTGGAGCTTCGGGAGGGTGAGACCTAGTTACAGGGTTGCTTCAGGTTCGGGCTTTGGGGTTCATTTAGGGTTTAGGGCGCAGGGTTTAGGGTTTAGGGTTTAGGGTTTAGGGTTTAGGGTTTAGGGTTTAGGGTTTAGGGTTTAGCGTTTCAAGACTTTGGGCCGCCGGTCAGGGTCTAGGGTTTCGGCTCTATCCGTCGGGCGATGTTCGCAGAGTTCTGCTTCTCCGCCCCTCATCCTACAGCCCGTGCACCCGCTTGCTCCCGGCGCGGGTTGGCTATGCACGGTCGGACCATCAAACTTAAGGACCCTACACCCTAAACCTTAAACCCTAAACCCTAAACCCTAAACCCTAAACCCTAAACCCAGGCTCTAAGGAACTTGAATTGAAGCAATATATCGGCCCTTGGGTTCACTCTACTCCCCCAGACATGCCGTCTTTCTTTCTGCCTTACCTAAGGGTACTTGGAGGTTCATGGTACCTACGAACCAATGGGTTTAGGGTTTAGGATTTAGGGTTGAGGGTTTAGGGTTTAGGGTTTAAGGTACATAGGAACCAATTATAACTGTACTTATAACCCACTTATAAGCCCCTTAAGTGTCGTAAGATTGTTATGGGCACAGTGAGAAGTACAGTTATAGTTGGTTAGTATGTGCCCACAAGTGAGCTCAACCCTGCGTGTCCGCTTCCAGTGGGGCGATGCTGCTGCTTTTGCACTCTCGTTTTGGCCCTGCGAAGGTCCGATGGGTTCTACGTTCCGCAAGATCTGCCACAGGAGCGGACGTACATCTCCCCCCCCCCCCCCCGCCCCCAAAGCCAGTAACTTCCTGAACCTTAAGCCTTACACCTACCTTTGGGTATAAGAGGTGTACGCCCACCCCAACCCCCCGCCCCCCTTCCCCCCCCCCTCCCCGCATCTTGGCAAATATCCGCATCTTAGATCCTCATACCCTAAAACTAAACCTTTCGCCCTATATCTTGGGATGTTCCCCCTTATATTAACAGTCCTTCATAGGGATTACAATAGGGGGTACTGCAATCCCTACTAAGGACTGCGAGTATCAGGGGGAACATCCCAACCCGTATCATATGCCCTAAGCCCTAAACCCTAAGCCCTGAACCCTGAACCCTAAACCCTAAACCCTAAACCCTAAACCCTAAACTTCAGCTCTAAGGGGAGTAGGGCTGCCTTGCCAGGACTTCACCGCGGGTCAGGCGGAAGCGACCATGGACGCCGACGCGGCTCCGGGGGGCAATCAGGCAGCTCAAGGGACATCTGGGGCTTGTTTTTGTTTGTTTAAGATTTGTTTATTCTTTTATTATTTTATTTGTTTTTTTTGTTTTATTTGTTTATTTGTTTGTTTGTTTGTTTATTCGTTGATTTGTTTGTTTGTTTATTTGTTTGTTTGTTGATTTGTCTATTTGTTTTTTCATTTTGATTGTTTAAGTTTTTTTTTTTTTTTTTTTTTTGGGGGGGGGGTGTTCGGCTTATGTTTAGGGGGTTGTAGGGCCTTAGGGTTTTTGGGGTTTTAGTTTTTTTTTTTTTTTTTTTTTTTTTTTTTTTTTTTTTTTTTTTTTTTTTTTTTTTTTTTTTTTTTTTTTTTTTTTTTTTTTTTTTTTTTTTTATGGGCTTTTAGGGTTCAGGGTTTTGAGGTGTAGCCCTGAAACCCTAGACCCTAAATTTAGGTTCCTCGGGTTTGGGGGCAGTAGAGATTCTAGAATAGTATAGAACAACAGTTGAGTGTCCTGCCTTGAGGGACTGCAGGGTGTGCTGGGTGCAGGGAGGGGTTGGGGTTCAGAGGTTCCGGACGTGTGTAGGATTTAGGGCTTAGGGTTTAGGGTTTAGGGCTTAGGGTTCAGGGTTTAGGGTTCAAAGTTTAGGGTTTGGAGGTTTAGAGGTTTGGGTTTTAGGGCTTTCGAGTTCAGGGCACAAGTGTCCTCCTAGATCCTTCCAGAACACATTGCGTAAGGCAATTATCACATCCGCACTACTCTGGCCTATGCAAAGATTATAGGGTTCTTAACCCAAAGGATCCATGTACCTATATAGTATATACTTGGGCCCTAAAGCTACTATATAGGAACCCCTTTAAGGCCCAAGTATATACTACATAGGTACATGGATCCTTTGGGTAAGGGAGGGGGGCTCATGGGGGGTAGCTACCCTAGGCAACGTTGTGGAAGCTTAGGGGAGTAGTGGGGAGTAGTGGGGAACCTGGGGTTAGATACTCCCCTTGAACTCCCCCCCCCCCCCCCCCTTGAGAACACCCGAAACCCTAAACCCTAAACCCCACACCCTAAACCCTAAACCCTAAACCCTAAACCCTAAACCCTTTTTTTCTTGAGAATCCTATAAAACTCTGAAAGCCCCAGTTAGAGAGGCCTCCCAAGCTCTACGCCCTCAGCCCCACTTCCCCCGAAGCCCTAAAAGCCCAAAAACATATCGTAGCCTTAGCTCCCAAACCCTAAATCCCCAAAACCCTAGATGCCTAAAGGTCGAAAAACCCTAAACCCTAAACCCTAAACCCCGAACTCAAAAACCCTAAAGACCTAAAGCCCAAAGCATTCAGACAGAAGCCTAGCTCCTGGGCTCAGCGGATTAGGGTGCAGGGTTTCGGGTTTAGGGTTTAGGGTTTCGGGTTTAGGGTTTAGGGTTTAGACTTGTGGTTTACAGGCCTTACAGGGTTTTGGTTCCGGTTTGGGGGTTTCGGGTCACGAAACCTTCAAGCCTAGAGAACACGAGCCCCTGTCTGGTGTGTTAAGGGTGTTTAAGGTTTAGGGTTTACAGGGTGCAGAGGGTTTATAGGGTTTAGAGGGTTCAGAGGGTTTAGAGGGTTTAGAGTTCTACATAGGGTCGAGGGGTTCGGTTAGGGCTTAATTTGGCTAAACCCTAAACCCTAAACCCTAAACCCTAGCTTGAGCGCACATGGCACCCGCAGTTTGTGTGTCGTGACTCGGTCCCACTCAGCGAGTTAGGGGCCCTGGTTCGGGTACCTAAACGCTATAAACCCGAAACCCTCAACCCTCAACCCTCAACCCTCAACCCAACTCTCAACCCTCAACCCTCAACCCTCAGCCTGCCAGGCCGTCCAGCTGAATTTGGAGCAGTCGGTGGGTGACGTGGGCCCCATGATGATGCCCGACATGATGGACATGACGGACATGTCTGAGCCTGGAGCCACAGGAGACAAACAAATGAGTGTGTTGTTTAGGGTTTGGGTTTAAGGTTTAGGGCTTGTAATTTGGGATGTTCCCCCTTATACTAGCAGTCCTCAATAGGGATTATAGTACCCCCCCCCCCCTTATTTTAATCCCTGTTAAGGACTTGTTACTATACGGGGGAACATCCCAAATGTTATTCATACTTGTAGTGGTAACAAAGTTTTTCATGTTGTAGGTCCCCTTACCAAGCAACCAACCCCAAAAGGCTACCCTTATTATAATGTGGTTGCCTGGCCATGTTCGCGTGCGCTTTGGTGATTTTTCGGGATTGGAAGGCGTGGGGCTTTTAAAGAAGATGAACATGCCGTGACCCTACTCGTCCGATCTGAAGCCAGCTATCCCTAAGGGTACATGTACCCATAAAAAGTCTAATTATACTTGGGCCCCAAAGCTGCTATGTCGGAACCCCTTCAAGGCCATACTATAGAAGCACATGGACTTTGGGTATTGAAGCCGACGGAAACGGCTGAGGGCTCCATCAGCATGAGCTATCGTCCTTGGAATCGTCCTTCGCTTGAGACCACAGCTGCTGGCGAAAGTCCTAAAGGCAAAGGTCTCGCCGTCTGCCCCAACACCCCCAGGTGCGGTTTAGGGTTTAGGTTTTTGGGTTGAGGGTTTTGGGGCTTTGGGTTTACCCCCAGCACCCCCCTAGCACCCCCACCCCAGCACCGCCACTATCACCACCCACAGCAGTGAAAGACAGCGCCAGCATCGTCAGCCCTATGAACCCTAGATCCCGAAGCCCCGCCGCGCCGAGGATGCAGCATTACATGTTCGCACACGGCTTCGAGGACTGCAGCTGGGGGCTTTAGGGCTTAGGGTTCAGGGTTTAGGGTCTATGGTTGAGGGTTGAGGGTTGAAGGGGGGGGGGGGGGGTTATGACTGAAGCCAACCCTAAGCCCTCAACGCCCTCTAATATACCCCAAACCCTTAACCCTGGCCCTAAACCCTAAACCCTAAACCCTAAACCCTAAACCCTAAACCCTAAACCCTAAACCCTAGCTCCCTAAGCCCGTGGGGGCCTGAACCCAGGGATCCTCCAACTCTTCACGGTTTTTGCAAGCTAACGAAACCCACGCACTGAAGCCCACCTTATTCCCAAGTCCTAAGCACAAATCACTAACTCGGTAGGCCTTTTGGACATCTTGCATTTGCCCTTTTTGGGGTTGAAGAGGATCATATTCAGGAATATCTTTCAGAGGGTTTTAAGGGCCATCCTAGCTAAGCAGGACAGCTCAGACTTAGGGTTTAGGGTTTAGGGTTTGCGGAAGGGGCGGGGGAGGGGGGGGGGGTGTTTATTGGTGACACGTTTGTTTTTGTAGGGGTGGGGCTTGTTCCTTGCACATTCCTAGTTCTTGCACCTTAATGCTAGCGGGGTGTGTACATGCACATTTTTATATAGGCTGATCCTGAAGTACAGTGAAGCCATCTAAGTATCTAAGTATCCTTGCCCTTGAGATCCATCTGCCGCCGAAATGCCACACCGCAAGCTATGGTCAACTCACTCACCCTAAGGCCTAAAACCCTAAACCCTAAACCTTGAACCCCAAACCCCAAAACCTAAGAAAACACAAATCTATACCGCTCTCTAAGTAGTTCCCTCCAAGAGTCTTTTTTGTGTACCCCCCAAATTGTACGAAGTTCTTAGTCAGGAACGAAGGAAGTATCCCGTAAAGGGTTGATGTAGGGGGATATAAGGTGCCTAACTGACTCCCTCGTTCCCTTTTGCAGGTAGAGAATCTAGCGCTCCTGAACCCGAAACGCTACTGTAAACCCTAAACGCTACTGTAAACCCTCAAAGCTATGCCCTGAGCCCTAAACCCTAAACCCTGAACCCTAAACCCTAAACCCTAAACCTTTAACCTCAAAAGTAACAATTTGTGTAGCGCGCTGGCCCACGTGGGAGGAGATGATGCCGGAAGCCCAGAGAAACCTTGGGCGTCGAAGCCCTGATCCCCCAAGCCCTGAACCTAGCCCTATCCATATAAGGGTGTTTAGGGTTTAGGGTTTAGGGTAAACCCTGAACCCTGAACCCTAAACCCTGAACCCTAAACCCTAAACCCTAAAAACCCGAAACCCTCAACTCTCAACCGGACCTGCTCCCCCCCCCCCCCCCCCCCCCCCCCCCCAGTTTAGCACACCCTGGCCACGATCTTTGTGTGCTGCTCGGAACCACACTAAACACAAAACCTAAACCCTAAACCCTAAACCCTAAACCCTAAACCCTAAACCCTGGGGTCCTCAAACCTAACCCCGGGCCCTGAGCATCCAGAGTATCCCTGCCAGAGTGTGCCTATTTCCATCCCTGAGCCCTAAACCCTAAACCTTAAACCCTAAACCCTAAACCCTAAACCCTAAACCCTGCAGGAAACCCTAAGCAGGAGTTGCACAGTCGGAGTGCGGAGTAGTTTAATGCGACTCCCAAGGCAGTATCAGCTTCACGCCGGCAACGAGGCGGGCTTAGGGCAGGCCTACAGGGCTTGGAATTGATCTAAGGCTTTAGGGTTTAGGGTTTGGGGTTTAGGGTTTTGGGTTTAGGGTTTAGGGCGTAGGGTTTAGGGTTTAGGGTTTAGGGAAAAAGGCTTACATGGTCCCTGAAGCTTGGGGTTTCACGGTGTAGGACTTAAGGTTTAGGGTTCAGAGTTTAGGGTTCGGGTTTTGAGGGTAGTTGCATGGTCCCTTAAAGCGGGCCTTTACCTTCTTTAACGGGTTCTCACGTATGGGCCCTTGGGTTTTATGGGGTATATGAGGGATTGATTAGCGGTCCCCTTGTAAGGGCCCACATTAAGGGACCGTGCAGCTACCCTTCGAAGAGCCTTGAAGGGGTCGAGATGGCGTTTCAAGGTCTGCTGCCCCGATCCCACTAGCCCTGAATTCTACATCCTCACTTGCCTAGGCCCCGCCTTAAGAACCCCAAAGCCTACTCTCTCTCTCTCTCTCTTTTGTGTTCTCCCCTTTGTGGGGTTCGTAGGTGGTGCACAAAGGGGTGCAAAAAGGGGAGTTGGGGGGGTTTTCAAGGATAACTAGACTCTCAATTTGTGCTCAACCTCTAGAGGGCGTAAAGCCGACACCTGCCGGGACACGTTGGGTGCATGCAACGTGTTTAGGGTTAGGATGTATCGCACCCCAAAACTACTCTATACCCCAAAACCGAGGTGAAGGATCTTGTTTTCTTGGTTTACTGTTTGGGGGTTCAGTCTTTGTGGGTTTAGGGTTTAGGGTTGGGGGTCCGTGATTAAGCCGGGGCCCCTAAGCCCTAAGTCCTAAGCCCCAAGACCCAAACCCTAAACCCCCCCCGAACCACCCAAACGAGACAGGTCTTCCCGCGAGGGTACGGCTACCATGGCCATCGTGGCAACAAGGCACCGGAGACTTCCCGAAGCAAAAATCAGTTTGGACAGGTGTCTTGAGCTAGATATACATCTGGGTATTTGTTTTTGTTCAACGCCAGACCCCCCCCCCCCCCAACAAATAGGTAGGAATGGTGTGGGGATTTTATTTTGATTTTTTTGTTTGGGGGGGGGGGGGGGGGAGGGGGGTCGCGAGCTCATTGAGCTTAGAAGATAATTTCAAAGAGCTGACCTAACTCCATTCTCAGATGACCCGAAATCCTTAATAACTTAAGACAATTCCGGGAGATCATGACCATGTGATCCAATGATGTCGGTATGCAAACACACACACCGTTGATTTTGAAGCTGTCTGGCCAGATGACAGTCCGGATGGTGACAGTGGGTATTGTTCATGTTTCTGGGTTAGGATGTTAGACATAAGGCTCTGTGGTGCTTTACTGTAATTTTAGATCCTTAGCCTTTTGGGGTTTATTGGGTTGCTTAATAAGGCAGCTAGAATTGAACTTATAGCTACCCAGCTAAGTGCAGCCAAGAGAGCCATGAGTGGTTTGGCTAGGTGTCTTGGTTGGCCGGCACCAATGGTCACTTCTCTACATGGTCGTCCCTTCTTTTGGTGGGGTCCCGGTTGCTGCTGCAATCCGGCCCCGTCGAGTACCAGCTAAACCCTAAACCCTAAACCCTAAACTTAGAGCTGGCCACGTAACGTTTCGGGCTCTGCAGTGCGCATTCCTGTCAGACTCTGAGCCCTGAATCCTGATCCCTATACTTAGGAGCTGAGTGAGTACACTTGACACGTTTTGGGATACCATAACCCCCTATAACACTGAAACTCTACACTTTTTGGGGGCTCATGAACCCAGCAACCAAGTATAGGTCCCAAATCCTACTCTTCCCCAAAGCGCTCACCGCCGCCTCTCGGTGCAGGGCTGGTACTATGGCAAGGGCGACTCGCAGGAACGGCGCTGGTACAACCGACCCAAACAGGCACCCAACTCCCTGGGTTTTGGGTTTTGGGAGAGGGCTTCGGGTGAACAGTAGGGAACATTGTTGGAGGGGGACTTGTGTAAGGTTTGGCGGCTTCTGGTTGAGGATGGCTTGTGTGAATTCCCAAGTACAGCCCCACGGTTGCGGGCGGAGGCTCCCGTGGTTTTAGCAGGGGGGTGTCCGAAAGTTCAGATCCCTTTATTTCGGGTCTGTGTTTCGGTTTAGGGTTTTGGGTTTGTTTGAGGGGATTCTGCTTCAAAGGTTGCAGAAAGGCCCATCACCATCTTAGGAAACGCGCAGAGCATTTGCAGAGCTGTAGGGCGTTTGGGCTTTGAGGGATTTGGAGTCCACGTTTAGGGTTTAGGGTTTAGGGTTTAGGGTTTAGGGTTTAGGGTTTAGGATTTAGGGTTTAGGGGTTTCAGGGTGTAGGGTTTTAGGGCTTTGGGGCCGTTGGGGTCTAGGGCGAAGGATCTTAGGGGTTTAGGTCTGCTTTCAGATTTGGGTCCTGGGTTTAGGTCTTATGGCTTTGGGTTTCAGGTTTGTGGTTTAGGCCTTTGAGTTCCATTGCTGGTGTTAGCAGGTCGTGAATCCTGACGAGCCGCCGCCGAAGGCACGCTGTGGAGGGCTGGGTGGGGGGGGGGGGGGGGCTTGATTCATGCCGCTCCTGTGGTTTAGTGTCAGGCTGTTTAAGGCACATATAAGGTTGAAGAGGGTGCGGGGTGGCAGGGTTGGTTTAGGGTATAGGGTTTAGGTCGCACTCCTTCTGAGTTGTCCGAAGTCCAGTTCACTACTATGAACCTCTTAAAAAGCAACCCCCTTGGTCCTTTTGGTGTTCTGGGCTCCTTTGCAAGATTCACCCGAAACCCTGAACCCAGAAGGGGACTTCCGTTGATTCCTCCTTCACTGGGGGACTCCTCCTTCACTGGGGGACCTACTTCTTGCCTTCGAACCACAGCTCTGAAGCCCTTAAGCGAAGCAGCAAAAGGATGTAAAGGATGTACCCTAAACCCTGGGATGTACCCTAAACCTTAAACCCTAAACCCTACACCCTAAACCCTATCAACCATAAACGCTAAACCCTGAACCCTATAACCCTAGACCCTACTGAGCCCTAGGCTTTTGGACCTAGATTGTTTTACATGCTATTTTAAGGCGGGGAACGTCGATAGTGTGCAGTCCTTAGGACAAAGCCCCGGAAAAAAAAAGAAGAAAACAAAAACAAAAAAAACTGAGAATTCTCAACCCTGAAACCAGATGTAGCGCCCTAGACCCTACGTAAAATCCCTGAAAACTCTACAGCCCTTAAAGTCTCAGTGCCGCACGACGCTTCGCCCGAGGCAACGAAAGCTGGACGGGAGCTCCGCACGATCCCTGGAGGGGCTTTTACAGGGCGCAACTCTACCCTAATCCCTAAACCCTAAACGCTTTAAGATGGACCTATGCTACCTTTTACGCTTGCCTCACCCTGACCACGCCCCCCCAGGTTGTGCAAGGGTTTACAGGATTTGTACTCCGGTACTGAGTGAGAGCCTTTCTGGCTCTCTATGAATATTGGGGGTGTTTTTTTTTTAGGGGATACTGAGAAATACAAGCCCTTCTTCATACGGGGGTTTAGGGTCTAGGGAAGCTAGGGCTGGCGTAAGATCATGGGCAGGGTTGTCGGGTTTTCCTTAGAGCCTCAAATCTGCACTTCCCTGCAGGTTATGATTTCAACGCTTCATGCAGGACTCTCAGGCCTCCCTAGAAGTCTATGTACTCATATATCGTAAACTTGGGCCCCGAAGCTACGACATAGGAACGAGATGCATGTTTTAGCTGGAGTGACCTGTATATTTCCCCGTAGACGGAGGTATTTTTCTTAAGTAGGCTTGTTCGGCGGGTCTTTTTTGTCTTTCGTGGGGGAGCATAGGCAAGGGCTTCGGGGATGGAGGCGGGGTGCGAGACAATGAAATGGGCCGAAACCCTCAACCGTAAACCCTAAGCCCTAAGCCCTAAACCCTAAACCCTAAACCCTGCAGGTGCTCTCCTGGACTTTTACTTCGAGCCTTTCAACTTGCAGCACAACAAGTGACTTGCTCGAACTTCTTGAGACCGAAATGGAAGGCCCTTATTCCTTGTTTTGGGGGTTTAGAGTTTAGGGTTTAGGGTTTACGGTTGAATCCAATAATTGGTGCCCTTATCATAATATGTTTTCTGGGCTACCATGAAGGCTAAGATGCCAGGCCCTTATTCACTGTTTTGGGGGGTCTGGGGTTTGGGGTTTAGGGTTACAGGGTTCAACTAGGACCCAGAGTAGGCCCTTTTTTTTTGTTGTGGGGGGGGGGGGGGGGGGCTCTCTCATAAACCTGTCTGAAACCAAGAAGGGTATCCTGTTGTTACTAGGTTATTCTTGGGCCGAGGAAGCTGCTTCTTCAGGCTTCTTCGGGTTTGGGGTTCAGGGTTTAGGGTTGGGATGTTCCTTATAGTAACAGTCCTTATTAGGGATTATAGTAGGGGGTACTAGAATCCCTATTAAGGACTACTAGGGCTTCAAGAATAAGAGTTGGATTTACAGGGCCTACTCAACATGCAAGAACGCAGACCGCGAGCTGGAACGTGCCCAAAACAATTAAAAACTGTATACGATGCAGGCCCTATCAGTGGGGAAGCCAGAAGGTTTTCTGGGTTGCTGTTAAGAAGAAGTGAACCCTAAATTTCCACAACATGGAAAGCACATTGTCCTCTGTATCCTTGTTATGGCCCCCGAAGGCTTATGTGTTAAGTTCCTGAACAGCAGCCCCCTACCTAAACCTTAATCCTACACCCTAAGCAGCAGTAGACAGTTGGCCTTGGGACTATGTTTCGTGCTTTGGCGGTCGAACTCTACCAGGGGAGCCATGTTGTCTTCCCTATTGTCTTCTCACGTCGATGCTTCGCAGGCCGAGGGCTTCAAGTAGGGTTTCGGGCTTTAAGGGTCTGGTTGTTTAGAGTTGACATTGCTGGACCTGCACGTGCTTCTTGCACCACTACAAAGTCAACTTAGAAAGCACAGCCTTAAACCCTAAACCCTAAAAGGTTCAGGGTTTGGGGTTTAGGGCTGAAGGCTTTGGAGCCTTAAAATCTGAGAGGTAAGGTGTATCTGGAGCTAGAAGCACCTCGAGCCCTAAATTTCTCTTGGTGGGTCCTTTCCGGAGGCTCTTTCGGATTTCGGGGCCTAACCCTAAACCCTAAACCCTAAACCCCAAACCCTAAACCCTAAACCCTAAACCCTAAACCCAGAAAGAGCGCCCACGAGGTACCTCCTTGACTTGGTCCTGCTGAAGCTGGGCAACGCCCCCCCGAAGCGGAAGGCCAGGGTACTTCAGGGGTTTAGGGTTTGGGGTTTAGGGGTTAGGGTTTAGGATTTAGGGTTAAGGGGTTAGGGTTTAGGAGTTAGGGGTTAGTGGTTTAGGAATCAGGCTTTAGCAGTATATATGTATGTACATGAATATTATACATATATATATATGTACCATACATGTCATTTGAATTGTCATGGTTTACTGTTTCAAGGGTCCTGAGGGCTAGTCCGAGCTTGTGCTGCTGGGTTTTTGTTGGGTACAATGAGGGGTTGATGGTTTTGGTGTTTTGGCTTGTGGCGCAGGGTGTCGTCGGGCATCTTGATTCGGAGTTCAGTGTCTTATAGGCTAAGGGCTTGAACTCATATGGGCTTATAGGGTTTAGGGCTTAGGGTTTAGGGTAGCCCTAAACCCTAAACCCTCAAATCACTAAACACCGTGACCGCTGGACAGGCCCGCTGGTCCGTCAACCACCTCGCGGAGATGAAGATGACCTTCGAGGTCGCAGTGAGGGATTGAATTGGCCCTAACCCTAAACCCTAAACCCTAAACCCTAAACCCTAAACCCTAAACCCTAAACCCTAAACCCTAAACCCTAAACCCTAAACCCTAAACCCTAAACCCTAAACCCTAAACCCTAAACCCTAAACCCTAAACCCTAAACCCAAAACCCTAAACCCTAAACCCTAACCCCTAAACCTAAACCCTAAACCCTAAACCCTAAACCCTAAACCCTAAACCCTAAACCCTAAACCCTAAACCCTAAACCCCAACCCTAAACCCTAAACCCCAGTCGTATCTAGAGTTTTAATTGCTCTGACCTGGGAATAAGTTCCAAAAACGTAATTTGTGAGTCCCTCAACTTAGTTGGTATATGTTAGTATATATAGGGGAACCCTAGACCCGAAAACCCCCCTCACCCCACGCCTTAGACCCTAAACCCTAAATTTGAGTTCGAGTTTAGGGCTTAGGGTTTAGGGTTTAGGGTTTAGGGCTTTGGGCTCAAAACTTAGGCCTCCGGGTTTAGCACTTCGGCCCCGAAGCAGCCACCCTTTCCCACACCTGGGTCCATGTCCTTGAGCTGTTGAACGTCTTCAGCGCGGAGAAGCGGCAGGATTTCGGAGTCGGGAAGATCATCTCACTCATGGCGACTGACAGCAAATCCCGGTTCATGTTTCGCTGCAGGGCAGACGACCTGTGAGCCGACATGTACGGCCTCGCCGCAATGCCCTTAGAGGTCTCCGATGGCTAGTTCATAAAGGAACCTCGTTCCCGTTTCCACAACCCAGGGGCGGTTGTGGCTATCAGGTGGCTGAGGGCGTCGTTTGTCTTGCTTTTGGGTTTAGGGTGTAGCTGGGGTGTGCCCTTGGCACAATTCGAATTTAAATTTCCCTTCTTTCACTATAAGGGAACCTTGTAAAAATAATTTTCCAAGGGCTTAAGGCACAACTCAGGTAGGGTTTAAGGGGTGTAAGTATTCTTGGGCCTGGGGCTGCAGGACCTGAGGCTGTTGATCTTCGAATGTATGAGGGTTTAGGGTTTAGGGTTTTAGGGTTTAGGGTTTAGGGTTTAGGGTTTTAGGGTTTAGGGTTTAGGGTTTAGGGTTTAGGTGGTCACTTCTCTCACTCCTGGCCTTTTGTTTTTTTCCGGGGGTGAACGCGTTGCACGAGCCGTTTATGATGATGACTATAGCCTCCTTAGGAATCATTTTCCCATATACACATACACCCTAAACCAATATTACACAATACTCTTTTCACTAAGATTTCCAAAAAGGATTATAGGTATATATATATATATAAACCTACAACCTGCCTATAAAGAATATAAGCCGACAAGGCCTGGAAACGCCCAGACCCTAACCCCTGAACCCTGAACCCTAGATGCCCACAAGGACCTGAAGGGCCTGAACCGAATCGCCAATTGGCTGGATCAGCTTTACCACTCTTGGAGTGAGGCACGGGCTGCTTGGGATTTAGGGTTTAGGGTTTAGGGTCTGGGTCTGCACACCCCCCCCCCCCCCCATTTCCCCGAAGTGTTGGTTTATTTTGTTCATGACGTCCTATGTGGGAGAAGCCAATTGTTTTGAAAGGGTAATGTTATTGAGGTCTTAGGTGGGGTTTCGCGTTTAGGTGTAAGGGTTTGTCTGCTCTTCAGCGTTCCGTTGGGTAGTTCACGGCCGGGGAGGTTGAGCATGTTTGAGGATTGTTGCTTTTGGGTTTCCTTTCTTCTAAGAGGTTCGGTTGTGCGAGTTAGTAGAACAGCGACATGCCAAACCTCTGCACCACAAGCACCAATGTACCCACTTCACTGTTCAGGATGATTCAAAGTTCCGTTGCCCTACACCCTAAACCCTAAACCCTAAACCCCATAACCTAAACCCTAAACCCTTTCAACCCTAAACCCTAAACCCTAGACTCTAATAAGACCTTCTCAGACGGGCCGTTGGGTATCGGCAGTCAGACCTCTAGTCTGACTTGGCGGGTTTCCAGGTCCAGGAAAGAATAAAAGGGTTTACAGTTCAGGGTTTAGGTTTTATAGGGTCCAGGGTTTAGAATTAGGGTTTAGGGTTTATAGGGTTTATAGGGTTTATAGGATTTAGGGTTTAGGGTTTAGGGTTTAGGGTTTAGGGTTTAGCGTACTTCAAACCCAAGCTGGCCAAGCGAAAGCCACGCGCCCAACGCCAAAGGCTTAACTCGACGCCGGGACACCGAAGCTCTAAGCCTTGGCATCAACGTCAGCACGACGAATGATCCTGGGAACGCTGCAGCAACCCTAAACCCTAAACCCTATAAACCCTATAAACCCTATAAACCCTATAAACCCTATAAACCCTATAAACCCTATAAACCCCAAACCCTAAACCCTAAACCCTAAAGAGGAGAGGGGTCGACAAGCGCCTTCCGGAGTGGCGGTTGGCACCTTATATCATGAGGACGGTGAGCGCGGTCAGAGGGTTGTATTGCCTGAGCCTTTGAGGACTTAGGGTTTGGGGTTTAGGGTTTAGGGTTGAGGGTTTAGGGTTTTAGGGTTTAGGGTTCAGGGTTCAGGGTTTAGTTAGGGTTCAGGGTTTAGGGTTTAGGGTTTGGGGTTTAGATATGGGGATACCTTATGCACCTTGATTCCCCCCATTCTCCAGGGGTAGTTACATGTCCGCTGAATGGGTATACAAGTATATAAGGTTTCTTTTACTAAGGGCCCATGTAACTATACCCTACTTGGTAGCTCCTTTACCCTTTTTTTGGTTCTGGGTTCCCTCATGAAGTAACCCACCCAAAAAGGGTGCCCTTATTAGAATATGGTTACTAAACCCTAAACCCTAAACCCTAAACCCTAGAACCTAGACCCTAAACCCCAAACCCTAAACCCTAAACCCATCCTAAGCCCGGAGACACTAAGCTCTCCGGCGCCAGATTCTACCATCGGACGTTCCAGGAGGCGACGGCGAGCTCGTCTTGTTGAGCCAATCCTAGAGTTTTTTGTTTTGACTGGTTTCCCTATTTATTGAATCCTGGTAGCCCGGTGGTACCCTTTTCCCTTTGTTTAGGTTCAAGTATCCCTTATAAAGTAACCAACCCAAGAAAGGGTGCCCTTGTTCTAATATGGTTACTGGGCTACCAAGGAATAGTTCAGGTGAACCTTCTTATTCCTTGGCTAACGGGGGAGTGGACTTATCCGGTTGGAGTTTTTTGATTTTTTGTTCTCGGAGGTCTGCTGCGTAGGGTGTCATGTTTCGGACGAAGCCATGAATGCGTTTTTTCTTTGGGTGGGGGGGGAGGGGTGGAGCTGGTTGAGGCTTCGGAGGACGTTTGGGCTTGCAGCGTTTGTTTTTCAAAGGTGCTTAGGGCCTTTAGGGATTTAGGTTTGGAGTTTGCGGAATTAGGAGGGGCAGGATGGCAGCATGGGCGGACGTTTTTTTGTTTATTCGAGTGAACACTATATATATATATTCTTTCTTTCTTTATATATAGATATATGTATACACCATACATACATCTTTCTTCATCTATGCATATACACATACATATCTATACACTTGTGTATCTACTCAAGCATTATTCTACGTATTGCGGACGTTTCTCTTTTTAGGGGACGGGCTTGGAAGGTCTTAGATTTTGTGGGATCGGGTTCAGGGCTTGTGTTTTGAAGTTTTTATGTTTTGCTTTTTCTTTTGTTTTCTTTTCTTTTTTTTTGGGGGGGGGGGTCCGAAAATAGGGTGCTTTTTGGGGAGTTTTCAATAATAACGACTTTCGTATTTTGGGGTAGATGAGGGGCACGTACCCCTACCATATCTTTGGAGATACCCATGTCGGGACGACTATGCAGTCCGCCGGAGGATGGTCTGCTTTCATGCGGGTTTAGGGTTTTGGGTTTAGGGTTTACGGTTTACGGTTTACGGTTTAGGGTCAGATTTGCCTTCAACTTGCCTTGGCAAGACGATCTGTACCTACGTGTCAATACTTGAAGACCTCATGTTAGGCCCTAACGACTCTTATGACTAAGCAGACCCCTCCCTAACCTCAAACCCTCAACCCAAACTTAGTGCCCTCAAAACTTTACCCTAAACCCTAATCCCCCTAAGAACTCCCACATGGGCCCTCATGACTCTGCTTGTAGCTCTAACCCTAAACCCTAAACCCTAAACCCTAAGCCCTTTTTCGCGGAAGGTAAGGCCTTCATCATCCAGCGGCGTAGGAGGCGCCAGATGGGTGGGTTTAGGGTTTAGGATTTAGGCTTTATGGTTCAGGGCTTAGGGTTTAGGGTTTAGGGTTTAGGATTTGCATTGTGAGGTATAGCATGTTTTTTCTGCTTCAGGCTTGGCCCACTGCACTTGCGTTGTTTCTTGAGTTCTGAGTCAAGCCGCTCCGGTTTTCTAGGTGGTGGGCGTGGCTGTGCCTGACCCGGCTAAACCACTAGGACCCAATGTAGGCCCTGATTCCTTCCTTTTTTTAGGGGTTGAGGTTCCCTTCCAACCCCCTTTTAAACCAAAAAGGGTACCCTGTTCATTCCTAGGCTACCCTTGAATTCAGACCCCGAGCCAAGGGAGCTCTTGAATTCGCAAGTCCTTCCGTTCAAGGCTCCAAGAGCTCCGAGTCTGCCAAGGGGCCTCCGACATGTAAGCCGCTGCGTAGTACTACTATCGACTTAAGAACCCCCCCCAAAAAAACAAAAGATAACAATCCCTGTGTTTAATCCCTATATTGCCCTTAAACGGAAGATGTTTTTTTCATTTTCGGTGTATTTAAGCAAATATTAGAATACCAAGTCATAGTGCACGAATTCAATATAAATCTGGCAGACTCCCCACCCCTACAAGTTTGAGACGCTTTACTTTCTAACACTGTCTGATAGCTGCAGGAACGCGCCCTTTTGTGTTGTTTTATGATTGCGCGGGCTGGATGAACAAGGGAGTCCCGTCGCACATGGTGCAGGATTCGCAGGTTGAGGGTTTTCGCTTAGACTTTCGGCTTGCCACCGAGGTCCAACGCAGTGGCCGCAGCCGCCCTCCAAGATCTGTGGCAGTGGGGGAAGAGGGGAGGGGGGGAGGAGGGGGCGGGGGGGGGAGAGGAGGTTGCGGGTTCATCGGTTCTTAACTGTTTGGGGGTTCAGGAGGTTTTGGGGCTTGACCGCAGAACCCTACCACTGTTGCAGGTGATGAGTCCCCATCTCCACATAGAGTTTGTCCCTAAACCCGAAGCCCTAAACCCTATATACCACCCCACAGAACAAAAATGGATTTTCATTTTTTAACGGCAGAGCTTTCGTGATACATATAGAATAGTTTGTTATATGCATGGCTCCGTATTGCATATAAAGGACTTTAGTATAGGGCTTTTCGGGTTTGCAGGGCTTGTAGGGCTTCAGGGCTTCTAGGTTTCATACGGCTTATAGGGTTTCAACAGTTTATGATATCATTTGACAAGCGGATCTAAGAAAATTTTGAACTTCTTTTGTCACACGAGACAGGGCGAATCTGCTTTTCGTTCTCGGAAGTTCTGGTCTTCAAGAAGTGTGTACTCAATTTTAGACTTTATGCGCACCCTTTTTTTCCTGGGTTACTCTTGGGTCTAGTCTTTGTGGGTGGTTACTCCGCTGTTACTCGGCTGGACTCTCAGCGCGAGTGAAGTAGCACTCGGAGTGAACAACTAAACCATAAACGCTAAATCCCGAGAGTGTGATAAAGCAGGGTTGCAATCCCAA